AGCATGTCCATGAGGTCACCACAGCAGTCTCGGTCAGTAGGCTATGGCAGCCAAATAAAGCCTGGTGTTGGCATTTCCTACTGACAATTAAAATTTTGGAGACAATTCCAAGTTTTGTGGGATGGCTGGCAGCGGCCAAGATAGATAGTGGGGAAATGTTGGACTACAAAAGGAGACAGATTTAAGTGCTCAGGTGCAGAAAAAAAAAGACAAAAATCTATTCCATAGAAACAGCAGCAAAATCTGGAAGGGTGGAGAAGGAAACCCTCTCTACCAGACATTTGCATGTATTTAAAATCCTTCCTAATAAAGTTCATAATGAATTTAATTCAGTCCCCTATGGCCCAGAGGAACGTTCTGAGTAATAAAAAGTATTGCTAAGGGACAGGTGACTGCCAAAGTCCTATTCTGTGCCAGCAGTGCATGTTTCTGTTATTGGCACTTAAATGCTAGGTTTATTTTACTACATAAGTGATCCTTTGCCACATACTAAGAATTAATACTGCAAGATCCACTTTTGGGAAGCTACAATAACAATTCCCAAATTTAAATCATTGTCAAATTTGTATGCTTTGTTTTTAAAGAGGTTTGGGGTGGGGTTTTTTTTTCAAAATAGTAGTTGAATAATTTTCAAAATTTTTTAAAATAGTAGTTGAGTGTGGTAATTCCTATTTTGGGTAAACTATTTTGTGGGTGGTTTACAGCTTAGCTTTATAAAATGGTTTTAGTCAAGGATCTTTTCATGTCTGTCTTTTTTTTTTGTCACCTTGAAATATCTCCATCAGTGTTAAATGAATTATAAGCTCAAACACTTTGTAAAGGTTGTGATGTATTCACTTGCACATAGTCAACTAGGTAACACAAGGTCTGGCTTCTGTTGGCATGGTCTAATGCACTTCTGATGATTAAACAGAGTGGTTCAAAACACGTGCTGGAAATTTCAAGCGCCAGTGATGAAGGTCGCTGGACCACAGCATCACTTTGTTTATAAACATCATTATTCCATGGAAGATAAATCTCTGCTCTCATCTAGTGTGTCGCTGCAGTGCAGTAGTCAGGGAAATGGAAAAAAAAAATGGAGCTACTAATTTTTTTCACTTTAATAACGAGGAGTGGAAGGGAAAGTTGGATATGAGGTGAAACGTGAAGGAGTTTAATTCCTAGCAGGCAGCAAGCTCTAGGGAAAATGCATAAGTACTGGTGTAAGATTTTGGTTTACTTTGGTTTGCTTTACATTCAAGCTGATACGTTGATTAAGCCCCTTCTGCATGTTACAATACAAACTTCTACAGCCTGTGTACAAGTTCAAATTGATGGTGGGAGGAATTCAGTCAAAATATTTAATACGCTAAGGTCTGAACATAAAGCTTTTCTTCTGCTGTGCTTCAGTTTACTTCATACCTCCACCCCAAGTGTGAACAGTTGGAAAAAATATTGTGACTTTGTCAGCATGTTTATTTACATGGTGCATCTCCCTTGAACCAACAAGTGTTGTGTTCAAGTGTGAAAATGAACAGTTACTCATCCCTGGAAAACACCATCAACTTTTACAGACAGACATCTCCTCCCACTCCCAAAAGACTAACCTCACCGCACTGTGCAAGGGCACGAGCAGCTCATTTTTCACTTGCTGTACACACAACGAAATATTCAGTTCCCCAGAACAAAAATGTCTCAAGAATATAAGGGGGAATCTTAAGCATTTGTCAGTTTGAACTAAAAAGAGAGGTCAGTGGCAAAAAATTCAGATACAAGCAAAAAAATCAGGCATCTCAGAGCACTGCATTTGAGCTTCAAAAGTGAATGCAGGCATCGTTTGCTCACCATTTTTCGCAGCAGCATTCATAATTTAGGAAATTATTAATCAGCGTGCTTAAGTGTCCTGTTTCTGACTAAGAACAAAAAAATTACACTATAGACCTTATTTTCTTTTCCCTTGAAGGCCATCATCCAGTAAAACTTGACAAGAATTCTGCAGACCTGGGTTTGTGGGCTTTAAGTTTCACAGGAGAAAAAGCTGGGCCGGAGCAGCAGCCTCCCTTCACTGCCCTTTTTGCAAGGCCTGTCACAAGTCGCTGCTCAGGGCTCCTGATTTTCTGTTGGTCCATGCCAAGACTGCTATCCCCGTTATGTGTTATGCTGACAGCAGACAAAAAAGCACTGAAGGCTAGAAAATTTGTAGGACTTATAGAAAATTCTGATCGGCTTATGGCAGAGACACAACAGGTACTGAAAAATGAGGGAGGGCAGTGGGGGAAGAGTAGAGCAGCCAAGCAAAGGGGCAAGGGATTGTCTAGGAAGGGGAACGCAGATAATGAGGCTGTGGCTGAGGAGAGTTACCGTGGCAGAAGAAAATGGCGGAGGTAAATGCATTCATCGCTTGCCTACTACCAACAGCCTTCCAGGGCTCCGACAGCGCTCTAAGTTTAAGATGCGCTGCTTCCCATGCAGCACTATTATGACATTAAGTGATTACAGAAGCAAATAGTCAAAAAGACAACTTTTATTTGGTATTTCATTCAGCAAGATCATAATTTTTTAAAGTAATTTTATAAAGTAATTATAGCTTTTGTTAACAAAATTGGGTTTTTTTGGAAGAAAAAAAAAAAGACATTTCATACCTTTTCTTTGCTTGGGGTGGTGGTGGAGAGAACTTGGACATACCCTGTTAAGCCCTGGCAGTTTCAAAGTTATAAAAAAAATCTTTCTTCTCTTTTCTGCCCCCCTTCACCATTACATTCATGGTTTCCGCTAGTGAAGTATCATTTTCCTGGCTTGAGAAATCAGTGTGCACTGTCTCAGAATTGCACTCCTGCAGTGATCTGTTCAACAGGGGCAATCTGGCTTAGCCTAGACAGGTAAGAATGAAAACACGTCTGTGCTTCTGTTGGGGAAGGAGGCTAGATGTTGGAGGAGATCAAAACAGAGTAACAAAAGTCTACTGGAAGTGAAAACTGGGCACCATCGGGATACTCTCTACTATTCTGAGCCTCTGCAGCAGGGAAGCCAACCTGCAGCTTCCTCTCCCTCCGAGTGTTCATGTAAGGCGCGATTCCTGCAAAGAGAAACACAAAGTGGAGACAGTAACCTAGTGGCTGTAGCGTGTTTCAGAAGTAATGCTTGGTGGGGAGCACCGAGAGGAACTGCGCTGTGTACCTGGTATTCCATGCAAGATGTCAGGATTTGTGGCGCTTACACACAGCAGCAGCGGTGGATGCCCACGAGGGTTTGAGCGCCTTTCCCCCGCTCCATCTCTGCCCGGGAACAGAGGCAGGGCTCTTCAGGGCTGCTGTTCTGAAGATGGCACCACCGCTGCCACCCTAGTGAACGCCTGTCCAGAGGCAGAATTTTCAGATATCCAACACGTAAGTCAGCCCCTTTTTAACGCCATTAGAGATACAGCAACATGTATTTATATTTACATATAAATACAAAATGGTCAGATACCATGTTTTCAAGCATAATTTATAACCTGAAACTGCTTACACTTTCATGACTAGGCTTGGGTTTTTCTCATTTACATTCATAATTTAATTCCACTGGAATTTGATTTTTAAGAAAGCCCAACATATCTTAATTACCATAAAAAGATCCATACATATTTTACTTAAAAATATCTTCTGTAAGAGGAAATTTACCAAAAATAACATGGAATATATTATTATGCCTTTTTTTTTTTTTTTTTTTTTTTTGTAAAGTACAAACAAGAATCTGATCTCTTCTGGGTATTGCCTGATCTAACATGGCTATAGGTTCTATTTATTTTGTTTGTTTTTCAATGTAAAGGGAAAGACATAAGAAACATAAGCACACAAACCAAAATAAAAATGCATTCTTTCCAAAGATACAGCTATCAATGAAAGAACACTCCAAAAACTAATAAATGACGATAGGTACAAAGAAACACTATCCAAGGTTATGCAGTCTTTTGTCACAGCATGTGTTGCAATGACTTTGCAACAGTTATTAAAAACAACAAACAAAAAAATGCTACTGGCAGAAAAAGCTGTCAAGCAAAACATTGAAAAATCGGTACTATTTCCTAACAAGTAATGCAGAACTGATAGTAAGTGTTTTATGTTTTGTTTCCCCACATATGCACACTTCTTTCCTCCTCTTTTCGCAGGACTGATTGTTGCAACTCTGGCTATTTGCTGGATGCCGAACCAGGTTAGAAGGATCATGGCTGCTGCAAAACCAAAGCAGGACTGGACTGTCCCCTACTTCAGGGCGTACATCACTCTTCTTCCCATTGCCAACATCTTCTTCTACCTCAGCTCGGTGGTGAACCCCCTCCTGTACAACATCTCTTCTCGGCAGTTCCGCAACGTGTTTCTGCAGGTCCTCCGCTGCCACCTGACAATACAGCATGCCAACAAGGAGAAGTTTCTCCGAGCCAACCTGAGCTCCAGAGCAAGGAGCAGCCGATCTCTACGCCCGCTGCTCTTCATTTCGTCTAGACACAATTCTTCTACAAGGGGCAGTAACAAAGTTTTCTTAAGTACTTTTCAGAGCGAGACCAAGCCTGACTGCAGTCCACAGAAGCCAGGTCCTGAACCACTGGAGCCCAGCTTGGAAGTAGTGCCACTAGAGACGAGCTCAGAGCCCAGTCCAGACGCACAAAACGGCCTTTGTGAACATCAAGTATGACTTCATAAGGCAAAGTTAATGATTAGCAATGAACTTAAAAACATGGAAATTAAAATGACGGAGGCATTGACCACATCTTAAAAGGAGTAACACAGATGGATTTGTTTCCAATTATGCAAAAAGAGCAAGAGTTCTGTATCCTGCTGCTGGGATTTTTAAGTGCACACTGGAAATTCAATCTGCTAACTGAATTCATTCACTGCCAAAATATTGGCCCCTCTCTCCCCCCAACCACTGAACTTCCCTCGCTGTTGACAGGGATTTGGAAACAAACAGAAAATAATTGCAGTGTCTTTGAAGAAAGGAGGAGACAGAACAAACTGTGTCAGGGCAAAAAGCTTGCTTGGAGTTTAGCAATACAAAAACAAAAGAGCCAATGTAAGGAGCAGAACGGTGGTTATCACGTGAGCCCTCGGCACCACACCAGAATTCCCCCTCTTCTTTGGCCGGGGTCCATTGCAGAGTGGAGTGTTGCAGCAGCTGATACAAACAGAGTTCACCTTCCCTGGAGAGCAAAAGGACTGGTACCCAGCAGAGGCTATCAGACACGCTGCTGAAGATGCGCAGGATTTGCGATACATGATTCCTGTGACACAGAGCAAAGGTTACTTAGTTCGGTATGAGCACGGTTTTGCTTTACAACACGATTCACGCTTGAAAACTGTTGCAAAACCAGTTTTCATCTCCAAAGCTGTGCTGGTGGTTAAGCCAGACACCTCAGCTGTGACATGGCTGACAGCTCTGCACTGCAAGAGAATCACAGTCCCCCTGGTTTGGATTTTTTTTTCATTTGATTCTGGTTGGAACCAAAAAATATTACAAACTTGATTTACATAATGTATATCAATAGATGCATTTTATAAACAGAATTCTTCATCTTTTGGAATAAGCTCTTTGAATAGCTGTAACAGAAGTGCAGTTAGCTTGAAAATGACTTTTGTTTCTGTTGCCGAACATGTCCAAGTTGTTTGAAGTGTTTAAGTAATTAGTTTTCCATGCTGTTAATTTGTCTTTTGAGCATTTTTTTTCCCTTTTCTTGTTCATTTGCCACACAGACAAATAACCAAGAGTAAAAGGAGAATGACTATCAGCAAAACTTTCATCTCCCTCCCCCTTTTTATTTTTTTAAAGAAAAACTAGAAGCACTTTTCCAGGTAATCTCAGTTCTTGCTGTCTTTGAAGCTTAATACCCTTAACAACAAAAATTTCCATTTGTACAGAAATGGCTTTTCTGAGTTGAAAGTCTTTCTTTTTTTAATGTAATTTTGTCTAATTTTAATTAATAATCTCATTAAGTTTATAATTTCTCAAATTGTTTTTACCCGCAAAAAGTATATTTTGATGCACATAGCTGTTATTTTAAAATGGTTTATAAAGGCTTTAAAATACATAGTTGCATCTTCCCCCGTCACAATGGAAAATAGTTGCGACAGTTCTACCTCTCATTACTCTACAATTTTCCTGCAAGTGATATAGCGGAAATTGTGTATTGAAAAAACATAGACATAACACATAAACAAATACTGGAGGTTTGCTGGTATTGCCTTGTGTTTACAAAAAGAGGTAAATATTTCTAAGGATAATAAAATCATTATTCCTTTTGAATATGAGATTCTCAAAGAGTTTTTTTTCTCCTGAAGGGCATGGGAACAGGATTCCCTTGGAAAACGGTCTCTCTGTATGCTGTAGCACGGTCCCATAATGTTTTTAAATACACAGTGATCAAGACTTTTTTTGGAGGGAGTGAAGCAGGAGTATGGCCCACAGGCACTGAACTTAGTGTACCTGCAGATACTTGTTCAGTCCCCAGGGGCTTCGGAAATAAGCACTGCAGCACCTACACAGTCCAGCAGGTACCTCTGCAGCAGTGACTGCCACTGCGCTACGAAGTGCTGTGTATAGCAGCAGAACACTCTTTGTTTGGGTTATGCTCAAAAGAAGGATTTCCTCTCTTCAGAGAATTTTAATTAAAGCAATTCTTTTATACTGTCATACATTGCTGCTATCCCAACAATGCAGGGGTTTCCCCGTTGTGTGTTCTCCCTCTGCAAATCTAAACTCTGAAACGCGTTTAAGGCTGTCTAGTTAAACTTATGAAGCGAAGCCCTCAAGTCAGTGTTAAATCTTCCTCTGTCTCCAGTGAGCTTCAATCAATCAACACAGCAGGTAGAGCCTTTTCTCGAGAAGGAAGAGGAGCTACAGGCTGTCCTAGCTGTAACAGCAAAGGCACACAGATCAAGAGGCACAATCTTTATTGCTATAGTTTGCAAAAAGAAGAGAGGTCCGTCTCTGTTGACAAACCACTGCTGTCAAGGAGCCTCAACTGTGCTGCCACCCATTGCCTTACAATTCTGTAGTCTCAGCTGATGTCTCCCACAAAGACTGGATGCTTTGTCCATGTTCCTCCTGCAGCCTTCCAAGAGCTGAGGCAGACGTGACCCTTCCCATGGCTACAGTTAACTTTTTTCCTTCCCTCTTGAGGAAGGAATCCCGCGTTCAATGGCACTAGGAACAGCAATTGTTCTTACATCTCTAATCCTGGACCTCCTCATCAGAGATTCCTTCCCTGCAGCTACAGCCACCCACCAAACTCAGAGGTGCCTCAGTATTCCCTAGGAACAGCAGTGAGTCCTCCATTTCCCCTCAAACACCAAGCCTCTAAAAAGCTTTTGACATTGGCAGGTTTCCTACTCCTGTTGTTTTATAGACCACTCTCATCCTGGCATTTCCTTTCCACAGGATTCCTGCAAAGCCCTGTTCACAATTTGAACTAGCAAATGATTTATTAGTTTAGGTCCCTGAAATATCATATACTTTGCAATTTTCCTGTAGACTAGAAGACTAGAATTGTTCAGTGCTGTGAACAATCAGATAATGCCTTCTGAGGCATGGTTTTCACCAGGCAACTCTAGGAGACCTCTCCTGCAAAAAACCAAAGTCCTGCAGCTTAACTCCATGTGTTTACAACAACTCTGTTCCCCAGGATAAATTCCATGGCTCCATCCTGAGCTCTTTTTGAAGCCAAAACACAGTATTCCTGCACAGACCGAAATTTGACAACTAAAGTTTCATGCACAGATGGACCATGTTCATGCCTAAATAGAGAGAATAATCTACCTAGTAGTAAAATCCCATTGTAACGCTTCTCCTGTGGCTTTTCTGTAAGTATGTCTTACAATAGGAAATTCCACTCTTAAATGACTGTTTATTCCCATTCCCAGCTCCAGTAATCTGAATTGTAACAAGATTCTCTACATAATTAAAAAAGTCAGCACTTCTATCACGTTTTCAATAGCTACGTGGCTAAAGACATGCCCTTCACATCCAAGTTCTTTTTCTTTAAGTACTGATAGATCCTTCTGAGCTTGCAAATCAGCTGCTATCATATGCTAATTGCGCTTTTTACGGAGCAGGAGGTACGAAATAAACTTGATCAGCAGAGAAAGGCTGTGCTTTTTCTCGAATTCTGCAGTATTCTTTTAGCAAGGTACAATGAAAACAGGCATAAAAGATTGATGGAAAAAAAGAGAGAACGTTAGCACTACAGGAGTGACATTTTAAAAATGCTTCAGCCATGACTTCACATTTTTTTACCACAAGTGTGAAAGAGTAATGACACTTTAAATAGTATGAATTAAAGAAAGGCAGGAAAAATATTCTTAAACCTTCTTCCTATCATATTGTGATTCCAGTTTAATTGTGGTAGGAAATAATTTAGTACAACTGACTTCCATGGTTTGATGCCAGGGACACCACTCTCCATGCTTCAGCAACCCGGTTATGTACCCCAGTTACTGCAGTTCACCCACCGAGTTCAGACGGGACACCAGCATCCTTTCTGGATTATCTCTGGAGATTAATTGCTTTTATATCTCCAGGATGTCTTTTCTCAGACTCCTTTCTTGCAGCTGTTTATTGTACTGCTGAGCCAGTTCTGAAACTAGTTCCGAGATCTTCCTGAATCATTTGCCACCAGCAGGCTGAACTGCAGACAGTTTTTCAAAGTGGTTATCTGCCTCATAAGACTCATACCACAGACATAACTGCTAATTACCAGATATTCTTGCTTGAGCAATCAGCTTGATACATTCATTAACACATCACCTAGAAATATAATTGCAAACCTTTCTGGGAGCTACCTCAGACTGTTCTGAGTTGCTGGCTAGGCAAGGAGATGGCACATTTTACACTCTGCTTTTACTGGGATGGGGTCATTCCCAGCTACCTACCCTCAACAGCTTACACTAGTGCTGAATTAGTATACTTACTAATATATCATTAGTATATTTACTGCCCAATCTCTTGATGGATGAGTATCAAATAACTCGTCCTTTTTCAAGGATTTAGCAGCCCCCAACAGCAGTGTGGGTTATGCACATGTGTAGGTACTATAATGATGTTTTACTTCACTGCTGACCAATTGGTTTTCCTCCATGTTGGCTTCAAGGTTTGTGGGGTTGCCTGAGGATATAGTTCAAGTACAAGTACTTTTAAGGAGAGAGGGGACTACACAAGGCTAGAATATCTGTCTGATAATGCAGTAATATTCCACACCCTCTCCTTCCACATACACCTACTATAACTACTTCCTTTAAAAAAATTAAAAAATCAAGCTTTGGGCTTAAATTGGGCATTGAAAATTTGCTCCTAGACTGAACAACTTTCCCATTGCTACACCTTTCTCTGCCCTACATGTGATCATATATTTAGATAGCGTCAAGGCCTGAACTACTATTCTGCAGGACTCCTGCCTTATTCCATGCAGTGAAGTGATGGAGGTGTAGGTCTCAAGGCTCTTCTATAGCTCCTGCTTGTAACATTGATATTCTCACTCAGATCCATTCTATACACACTCCCGCCAACTGCCAAGCTCAATCCCCTTGCTTAGCTGCAGTCTAGCCCTGTGCATCCACACCCTGGCACCACCTTGGCCACATGTGGATGCATTCAGTCTTGATAGCAACAATTTATTCAAATCCAAAACTGAGATTTCTTCCACCTACCCTGTCTGCAGAGCCCAGTACACGTTCTCTTGAATAACAGCTTAACTTGTTACTAAGACAACCAAAAAAGGTGACATCACACCTACTTATTACACCGTGTGTATGCAGAAGGCAGAAGATGCAAGCTTTTTCTCATACTGCTTGAAAAGGATCTTATTAGGCACCTCTGATTCTTCTGTTACAGCGGGTACAGACAAAAAAGACCAAGTGTAAGCCTGATGCTCCAGCTTAAGAGCCAACCATGGTCCTAGCAGTGTGTAACTAGTTTGCAGCTGTACTTTCAAGACTGTCCTTCAGCAAAATACAGAGGGATTCTAAAGCCAAAATAGGCAACTAGAAAACCACCTCCGAGATCAGTGACCTCATTTCCAAAAAACACAGTCACCTTCCCACTCTAAGGCCCAGCTACTCTGAAACAGGGTTCTGCAATGGCACACCTCAGCA